CAACAACTTGATGACAGCTAGCTCTGCTCGTTTTGTATTCCCTTGTGAAGCTGAAGCACATACTTATCATCTACTCCACTTCAAGCGATAGTAAGTGATGTAATCTTTCTGTTAAATACAGCAAATATTTGTTCACGGTTTGCTAGCTCTCCGTTTTGTGTGTGCTCTGAAAAAAAAATCCAGTTTTCCTACACAGCCCTGGCTCTGTAAGTGGTGTGGACATTGCCACACATCATTTTTCCAGCCAATCAGCAACAGGTAGCGTTAGTGCTCATGCACAGGAGTGATGGGGAGAGGGCAGTGAGAGAGAGGGTTCTATACATTTGAACATACTGGACTCTATGCACTGTGAATGAGAGATGGCCGAGAAACAGCTAAAGAGGAAAAGGTCTGAGGAGTATAAACAGAGAAAACAGTTATATGAACTGCCAAGAGTAAAGACATTTCAACGCGGGAGAAACCTCAGAGATTTGAAATTTAGGGGACCGAGCTCCTGAGGGAGCTTGACAGGAGGGGTGTATTTGTTTGGCAGCTGAGTTCAAATATCAACAATCCTTCTGCAGAATCACTTACTCTCCTTTTAACAACATTAAAGTACTAGAAACAAAATGGAGAAAAGCAGATTGTCAAGGTCAACAACATCCCAATTCTTCACGACATAACGTTAACGAGCGACCAGGACCTGAATATGAAAAACAATGCGTGGAGACACATATACTCCTGTCTCATTACATAAAAGGCACATTACTTCCTGCACTGGTGTCCAACATTGGCAGGAGACATAAATTATGCCTGACAGAATTGCCCAGAATTAATGTCATTTGTAGGGATACTGGACAAAATAAATGTTGGTCTGCTCTTTGACCACTAAGGATGTAATAGAAGACAAAAAACTAAACTTTGAAATACAAAAAACTGCCACTGCTTTATCAGCAGTGTGAAACAAAGGACTGTTCTTGAGTGTAGGGGTTTGTTCGACCGACCTGCAGCTGCCCTATGGCTGCGCCCCCCACTAATGCTCTCAGCAGAAATCCTCATAGCATGCTTAACGCCAGGATCCACTGACTGGTTTAGATCTGTCCATAGCCCTGTGTCAAAGTCCACTGGACACACAGAAGCATTTCAGCAGTGGAGCGTGTAGCCTGCCCCACGTTACTGACTTATTAATTTGTCCTTTCTGTGCCTCTACAACTTCAGGCTGCATTTCCCACACGGAGCATTTCAGAATCAGAGCATTTTGCCTGCCTGATTTCGCTGACGTGTTTAGATTTTGTTGATTTGATAATCAGTGCTTGCTTTTTGTGCTTCTACTATGATTAAGTAGATTTCTTTTTGTGTTTGTTTTAACCGTGTTTATTGTTGTTTACGATCAGGAGTCTGCAAGGGTGCTTTACACACAGAGTCTGCACAGGGTGTTTTATTTTGAAAATTGACCGGATTCCCAATACCATTCCATGTCTGACTTCCTGCCTGGTTAGATCTGCTCTGCGCTGCTTGATGCAGCTTGCATCAAAAATATACCTGCTATCTATTCTCTGCGGAGTGGAGAGCTGCTTCTGGGACGCGCTGTGGCCACGTCTGGTGGACTCAAAAGCATTGACTATAATGGCCGCGATGAGCTTTGGCAACCGCACCGCAGCCAGAGTCAGTGGGTTTTAGCGGTAATGCTGGCCCCTGCCGGGATGCAGTCATTTGTGCCTGACCTATGATGCATTCCTGCCTGCCAGTCATTGGCCAATCCAGGACTGACCCCCCATCCTTTTGACCAGTTGCAGATCGTTTGTCAAGACTTTGCAGGTCTGGGATAAGATCAGCAACAAGTCAAACCACTAGTGCTCTGTGTTGTTTTATCTGTCTCTCCTTTTGTTACCCTTTTGTTAACTTACTAACTACTTCTTTGTAAAGTTTTATTGTCTCCTCCTCGTCCTACTCACTACGCTCTTTATTGAAAACATGAGCGAGTAATCTTTCATTAGGATGACAGAACATGAACCCTGGGAGGTGGGGGGTAAGCAACAGGCAGGCATTCTGAAAACATTCTTTTCTAGTAATAAAGTCCCCGTAAATTAAAACCACTTGCTGTTTTGCTTCCAAAAATAAGTTGGCCAAGGAATGCAACTCCTCAGCTCAAAATAAAACTGTTGACAAATGTTACCCCCCTTGAATTAAAAAATAAACTGGTGAGGAATGATGAAATAATACAAGCAATTGTAAAATATAGAAATAAAGAATATTTTTGTGTGAAATCATCTCCACTTGAGGTTGTTTTTGTCGCTTTTTCCATTCCCCTCCTCCCCCTTTCTCCTTGGCACATTGCTGAAACAGCAAAAGCATAGACCCTGAAGGCTCACAATGTCGACTCCCTCTCCACCTCTCTTTCTGAGTACATAGGTTTGCACTGAATAAACTTCCAGTATGGACACAGGAAGTGGCTCAGCACCTTCTCAGGTTTGGACATACTCTCGGTGGGATAATAGACCTCTTGTGGAAAGCAGATGTCAAAATGAGTCAAAGACCTCATTTCTCTCCGCACTGAGGACATTGGAGAAGCAGGACAACATATTTCTCTTCCAGTACACAAGTATGTGTGTTAGCTACAGACAGAAGACAAATGAAATGAAATACTTAAACATTTTGGAAAATACTCTCACTCTATTTCTTGCTGAGAGTGAGATGATAAAATCTATACCACTCTCATGTCTGTGTGTAGAATTTGGAGCCATGAGGTGATTACCTTACCTTAATATTAAAAGAGGAGAGGGAAACAGCAAGCCTGGTTCTGTCCAAAGTTCAAGAATACATCTACCAGCACCTCTAAAGCTCACTAATTGCCACATTTTATCTTGTGTCTTTGATATATACACAAACAGAAATGTAAAAACAACAATATGTAGTTTAGGGGGAGAAAAATGCTGTAGCTACTTTAGGCAAACAACAGCCATAGTTGTGAGTTCCTAGAGTCTTGTCACTGCGTGGATATGCAAGCTGTCTTCTTCCAATCTTTATGCTAAGCTAGGCTAATTGCCTCCTGTCTCTACCTTGCACTGAGCAGCGTCAATCTTGTCTAACTCTAAAGCGAATAAGAGTATTTCCCAAAATGTCAAACTATTGCTTTAAAAGAAACCCTGAACAAATGTGCGGAGAAACAACAAATGCAAATGCTTCCGTACAGGGCACAAGTGGTCACTAAATCGTTTGATGAGTACGAAAATGATGTGAATCATATGCTATCTATCACAGTCACCAGATCTCAACCCAACTGTACTGAACTGTATTTTTTGATGAATTATTTTTCATCCCTGCAGTAGTGGTCAGAGACATGTATAAACTATGCCAAGTAGCTTTAAAGATGCTGTTGTAGCTCAAAATGGCCCAAAATCTAACTAAGATGTTGATTTTTCATTTAATTTGTTGCCTATCTGCATCACCAGTTATACTGCCTTGTTGATGTGTTATTTGAGAATCTTATATAGATGTTTTGACAAGCCTACATGTGAGTATTTGATACTCAAAAGTTACATTACTGGTGGAGTGTTCCTTTAACCCTTGCTCCTGCACATCTGCTTAGTAGCCACAGTGAGTAAAAAGTACAGATTTTATGAATAAATAATGTCTGAATCATACATTTTTCTTTAAAAACACATATTCAGGGGTTAGGCAGTAAGACTTGTGTCCATGTGTAAATTGATTGCGTTGACACACAACGTGGACCCCTACTGCACCCACACATCCTGACATATGACTGCTGAGTGCCTGGATGACACACATACTCTAAAACACCTCTTAAACCAGAGGGACCACTGTGACCATTTCAACCCAAAGTGTTGAAACGTAATCTGTGTTCTGGGACAGAAGGAGGAGAAAGTTATCGGGAGACACTAATACATCACACTAAAGTTAAAGAGAGAAAGAAATATAGCTGCAAGCCGCAAATGGTAGGAACAGTGGGACACACTAAATTTAAGTGTAGATTTGGTGGTACAGCAACACAGCTGTACAGCTACAGAAAGAAAAAGAAAAAAGTATTTGATTGATAAATGACATGTGAATGATAATGACTAAGTAAAAATAAGAAAACATAAATGGCAATACTATAAAGCACGTTGTATTGTTTCCTTTTGCCACATATGATAAATTCTAGATTCAAGCACAGCACCAGTATAAATATGATTGGTCATGCCATTGATGCTACAGATCAAAAACTGAGAAATAGCAATAAAAAATGAACTTAAAACATAGGCCTGCAGCTGGTCCAGCAGTAAAGTATCAAATTATCCATATTAAATAGAAAGTTATCTTTTCTTTTCAGACCAAGTTTAGTATCTCAGGCAAAAACCTTCGACTATTTCCAAAAGTAAGTTTTGCATATTTTTCTTAAGTCTCTCTTGGAGGAAATGATTGTGGCTTGTGTCAGGAGGTCTGCATGAACACAAGGAATGTGTTAATGTAACATTTTGAAAGTGCTGCACACAGCTGGGGAGTTACCAACATCTGGCCAGTGGGTATAATTCTTATTGCTTGATGAGTGTGTGAGATTATGAACCTGTCTGGAATATTTTTTTTTCTGAGAAACAAATACTTTTACAGAAATCAGCAGACCCATTTTGAGACCGATTGTCTTGGTTTTAGACCAAGTTATTGTGTTCAGTTTTTTGCTGAGTAAAAAAGTACACTGAGATGCTGATAAGGTTGCAAAGTGAGTCGACTGGTCAGGAACACCCAGGATGCTGTGGTTTCCCTTTCCACTGTACCCCACTGCTGTTATAACAGAGGAATACAAATGAAAGCAGCAGCCAAAAATAAGTTTGTTTCTGGAAAATAAGGTGTGGCCTCGGTTTAACCTTGTGGATTATTGTAGGTGGGTTACAGCCAAGAAAAATACTGTTTTTAAAGAATATATTCTTTATGCAATAATTTGGAGAATTGACATCAATGATGTTTCACCACCAGTGAGGGTGGTCCGTTAAGTGCTGGAAGTTGAGAAGTCACTTGATACTTACCAAACCTCTTATATCCAAAGGACTGCACCTCGTCCTCATCAGCAAATTCGTCTGGAGGGAGAAGACAAAAAAGGGTCAAAGTATCTAAATATAGAGGTTGTATTTTTTTTTTTAAAGATCTATTTTTCAGTGCTTATAAGGTCAGAGTGATACAGAACATGTTCCATCCCTGTGTTACAGTCCACTGAAGCCATTCTTTGTGCAGTCATATTGAACAAAAAAATACACCCTGTCTCGCTCAGATTAGCTCAGCTCTTTTAAGTAAACTTTCTTTTTCTTTCACTTGGTGGAATTACTCCCATCTCCCATGGCCTGACAGGACCCAAATGTTGCCTCCTTTCAAGCAGCTCTTATGCCTGTGGGAAAGTACTTTGCCAACTTCAAAGGTTTTTGTCTGTGTCATCATCCATGGCCAATGAAAATAAAGAAACACCACATGTCCCAAAGATCTTCAGAAAAAAGTATATCTTCATCTATAATGCCAAAAGCAGTGAGGTGTGGCGAGAAGAGAGCAATGGCTGCCCATCAGAGAAGTTTAGAGTAGGTCCTTATAGTGAAAACAGACAAATGAGGAGAGCTGATGGGACATTGTATTCTTCATAGAGTGTTCATCTTCCTGAGGTTAATATGTATAGTAATCTGGGAATGCTAAGAAAGGTCTGTTTCTGGGTCTTAAAACTGTAAGAAATCACATTGACTTCTGAGCAGACATCTCATGGCGGAGAGCAGCGTGAGTTAAGAGGTGACAAGAACAATCTAAATAGTTGTAAAAAATTTGAAACCACATCTTACTTGAGGAATGTAGCTTTCCCAATACCCTGTTTCCTGTTTGTGTTTCCAAGCTACATGATTGCTTCCCATTACAATGGTAATGTTACCGTAAGTATGTTTGGCTGTTCAAGAGCCATTCAGGGGAAATGGAGTTCATCACATTTTACCCAAAGGGTTTAAAACTGAGCGAATTTGCAGATAGATAGATGTGAGTCAAACTCAGTGTACTTTGGATTTGGGAATAAATATTTTGCTGTATGGGGCCATGATACTTAAGACGGATTGCTCAACATCACAGGACTAGAGCCCAGTGAGCACTGATTTGGTGATTTTGCAGTCAAAAAGATATCTATGCATCTTGGCTAAATCTGAGCTAAATTTGGGTGAGAAGTGAGAGGTTTTAGATGCCAAAATTACACATTATTCCTGGTCAGACAGCATTTTAATGTATATATCAAGATATAGTTAGCATCTGCTTCATATTAACATGTTCTCACTGAAATGATGAAACAATTGTTATATTTGGTAACTAGACTAAAAACTGTTATTTTTCTGAGCAAATTCAGCTCAGCCTTAACCTAGACTTCTCTTCTGGCTTGCAAATCACCAAATATGTGATCACAGGGACTGATGACATACTGCAATATGTCCTGACTATTGACTATTGACCACTGACTATTATGCTTTCCTACACCCTATAACATGTCAGTATTTGTCATTGCAGTGACTTTTTCTCCATAATCAAAATCAAACAAGCTTGACACCAGAAGGCCACTGGTGCATGGAAATAAACTGCATGCAGGCAGAAGAAGTCCATTGTTCATACACTAAGTTTTAGCAGTTTGACAGAGATGTTTTTTTATAATAAGATCCTCTTCATGGTTCTTCCATGGCCTTTTTCAGTGGATGAGCAAATTATGTCTGCTGGTGAAGGCCTAGAGAGACAGAAAAATCAAGAAAAGGACTTTGTGCTTAGATTTTTTATTTTTTGTGCCAAAGTGCTATTTCCAGGGTCAAGAATAAACCATCAAGCTCCAGAAGTGTTCTGTCCATCCTTAACAATCAAACAAACAAATAACAAAGAAATCATGACTTTCCAGCTGTGGTAAAAACAAAATTAGGACAAATGATAGACCTGCATGCTGGTCGTGCAGAGGGCCTACACTTACCTACCTACACATATATAAACCCAAGGTGTCTATAGTGCTGCCAAATACAAAAAAAAAGAACTACAAAAAGCAAAACACTAAACAAATATCTGGAATAAATCAAATACACAAAACAAGTGATAGCTCCAGCTCCAGTCCTTTAACAACAAAAACATAATGGTGTTCTTGGTAAGTCCCATTGCCTCTCAGTGCACTTACAGTAGTAACAGGAAGCGGCCAACATGCCAGTCACTCACATCACGGGTTTACTGTGAGTTGTTATCAATGCCCACAATGCGGAGCTTTGTGTTATTCTAAGATTGACCACACGGCAGCGGGAGTCAAGTAGTGTTTGGATATGGCGATAAGGGGCCAGTCTCCTGCCTTCGTCAGTGGGTTTGGATGACATTTAGCAGCGTCCAAAACATCGGGTCACCACGAGTTTCCCATCTAGGCAAACTCAAAATAAACCTTTATTTAAAATCCTGAGTTGTTGACCACGATGACTCATGTAAGCCAGTATTCGGTCTGTAAAATTCGCAGTAATGTGTTGAAAGCATAAAGGCAGCAAGTCACTGGGTTAAGTGCCCGGGTGAGCGCAAGTGCGCGCGCGCGCGCGAAGTCATATAGGGTACCGCAGTAAAGCAGTTGGAAGAACGGGAGTTAAGTCTGACTCAGTATTTCCTTCAGTGAGTTCTTTAAGCCAATACAAACCTTTGATCCAACACATGCACGTTTTAAAAGCGCAACATAAAAATGAAAAGAAAGCAGTTTAATAATAATTATAATAACAGCATATTTTATAGGCTATGGCTACTTACACAACATGACTAAAAATGCTGTCTCTTGGTGAAGCTATAATCGTATTTTTTGGCTCTGTTGTGAATAGTTCTGTTAGTGTAGGTTAGCGTTTGATGTGCAGCAGCAGCCAGATGCAAACAATCCCAGACAGAGTCCCTTAATTGAAGCCAGATGTCAGACGCAAGTTGTAGCCCACGCATTCCTCAGGTCTCAGACTGGGAGAAAGAGGCAGAAAAGTGACAAAGGAAGCGCGAGAGGAATATTGCACGTGCAGAAATAATAGATCAAATGATTGTCAGTGATACTGCTGTGCGCTTCAGCTCATTTCCGATTTTTTTTTAGTCTTATATATGCCTCTAATAAAAGAGCCTACCTTTCATTGTGGTTTTCAGGACTCTACCGTTGTGAAGCTGTTGTTTGAAGTCACATCCACAGCATCGCAATGGCATTTGCCCAAAAGCTCCCTTTGAGCGCACGGCACCTTGGATCTGTGTAGTATCCCAATATCCACTGTTTTCTAGAGTAGTAGAAATTACAACTCAAAGCTCCATGCGTGACTCTTCACCGTGCGGACGATCTCCTACAGCGCAGGTAACTTCAGATGCGCCTCAGATGCTGCAACAAAAAAAGTAAAGCACTTTGTTGCAAGTAGGAGTTACAAGAGCAAGAGAACAGCACGATCTTCTTATTTATCTGGTAGTTTGGAAAGATGCCGAAGTGAGGTTGTATCCTAGTCCAGCTCAGCACTCTTGTGGTAACCGCAGCAGTAACGGGAGAAACTCAAAAAGTGAAGGAATCCAAACGTGAGAGGAAGTAGTGCGCCCGTAAGGCTGCTTGAAGGAACCACGTGTTCCCACATCTGTACGCACCATCTGCACCTCTGGTTGATGTGTGTGCGTGTCTGTATTTTTGAGATTGTGCACAATTACGCTGAATAAGAACCAGTAGTGTCGTATAACACACTGTTTATACGTCTATAGTAGCACTACATGGCAAATCAGCGACCAACACCATGCTACTTGGTGCAACATGTGGGGTTGTGGATGTCAAAATAAAAGCAGTTGACCTGTATGTTGTGTTTGGTCACATTCCCATTAAAAGGACATACTGCAGGATTTTCGTCCACTAAAATCGCAGCCACTGTGTTATCAATATAGGATTCATTGTGATTGCCCCAATTTGAATGTTAAATAGAGGGAAAAGAAGCTGTGTCAGTCTACAACCACACCTAAAGCTAGGCTATATGTTGTTCCTTCCTTTGTAAATTACATTTTTAATTAAAAAAATGTCTGGCTGGACCTTATGAGTTTGAAAAGTTGAAAAAGTAAATTAAATATAAATTAATGTTTGCTTAAATTTTACTCTTTGTAACTATTGGACAATTGTCTCATTTAAGTTTGAAGTAAAATATATGATCATCTAAAAATAACGTAATGATTTATACATGACTATTTCCACTACAACATTTTGCAACATTTAATTCCAGAAGTGCAGAAACTCTTGGACCCTGCACAACAAGCTTGGTGAATGTAAATCCAATATTTACTCTCCTTTTAGCTCCGTTTTTGGTCTTCACCAACTCCTGAGGGAAATATCCGGCTGTTTAATTGTTAAATGCTCCACCTGGTCCACCAGCTATTCTCTAACTTTATCTGTCTGCCATTTGGCTTATTGCACAGTAGGTTTATCAGAGCGTTTTCACTGAAAACAGCTGCCTGCTACGGCTGAAAACAATACTGATAAGAGCAGTGGGACTGAACCAAACAGAAAAGTTGTGAGCCACAAAGCCAAACCAATGAGCTGAAAGATACAAAGCTCTGCAGAGCTGAGGGGAGCTGCAGACTCAGGTGATCATCTGTAGGTTTGTCACAATGAGGGGTGCCTTTCACAATACACAGTCATTTGTTATATGGATTACAGCAGCTTTAAATTACACAAATGCACTGGCTCAGTGATCACTCAGTGCCATTTTTCATGTGCCCACAGAAGGCTATTACACAAAGTTCAAGGTATATTTATTCTTAACATCTGCTGTTAGTTCTCTCTCAGACCTTCTGGTTCCCACCCTTTAACTGTTTCATCCATTACTTAAGGTCTCTGTGTACCAGTTTATCCCCTGCACCTGTTTATCTCTTCAGTTTGGGACTGCATGCTTTGATCAGTACCACAAAATGAAACACAAGCACACTAAGTGAGCTGGTCATAGGGCCCTACTGCTACACCTTGAAGTTTATAAATCTTTCTAAAATGCAAACATCAGATTAACAAACAATGTTATTTCTCTATGATCAATTTCTTAAAAAGTTCAACTTGTGTACAAACTTTTTTTTTAATGCACATTTATTCCTCTATGAGTGATTGCGTGCATGTAGCCTCAGATCTTTTTATAGTCAACTGTTTTATGTTTAGGTCAACCGCGGGAGAACATGGGAAGAACATTTATCCCTGCAGTGTTATGGGAACCAGGTGTCGACTGTGTCAGCAAGGATGCAGACTGACCTGAAGCACTGGCTGTTTTTGATTATTATCCAGTGAGGACCCTATTTTCTGGGTCAAAGCATGCAAAGAAGGGCACATTTTTGTGGTAGATGGGGCACCAGTGAAGAGACGGGGACAGAGGAACCTTTCAACCCAAGCCCCTCACATTCCAGTGGAGATATGAAACAGTTTCCTACTAATGTTTCCTTTTACTAAAAATACTCTGCACTGTAAACCCAAACAAGATTAGAACACTCAAAATATTTGTGGAAACTGATTACCTCAAACTTTTACAGTAGTGGTAATAATATTTGAGTAAACCTTAACTAAAATATAATACATTTTTAAAAAACCTTTAATTTCTGCATACTAAATTACATTGATTCACTGATGCTTATTAAAATTAAATTCTACTAATTCTTTACTCAATAAATGCAACTTTGCACAACGTATACTCTGATGAAAATCTACTCAAAAAATGTATTGTGCTAGACTCAAATACTAATGGAAACTCACTCAATTAACCAGCAACAATTTTGATAACCAATTTATTTTCATTCTTTTTTGCAATAACATTCTCTATTTCAGATCCTTAATGAGATTGTTTGGTGTTAAGTGATTTTTTAACCACACCATGCAAATTGCTAAGTCAGGTAGACGAGGTAATGGAACATCGAGGTTTCAGCAGGTTTCACCTGGTCAAATTTAAGACTTTTAAGGCCATTATGAATAGGGATGAGGATCGTTAATTTTTATTGATATTGATACCCTTATTGATACTGCTTAACGATCCGATTCTGTATCGATATTGGTATCGATACATTACTATTATTTAGTGATGGTTATTTGGTAAGACCAGACCCAAGGGGCATGAGGTAGGCCTGCACGGTATGAGGAAAATATTCAATGCGCGATAATGTTATATAATGAGATGATATATCACTTGCAACAAATAAACATATATTGAAATGTGTATATTAACTGCCTGGTTGTTTTTAATTTAATATTTTAAATACAGCTAAATCTTGTTTCTAGAGCAGCAACTAATGTTTACAACAGCAAAGTAACTCAATAACTTTATCTGACATCACAAGTAGTAGTGAGTGACGTTTAGAAAGAATAACATCAGTCTGTAACGTTATCAGTCCCTCCTCCTCTCTCGCTGACTGCAGGTAACGTTACCAGGTAGAAGGAGGAGCGGCTGGTTTGTGTCAGCCAGCAGCTGAGTTTTTAAGACTATAGACCTGTCTGTGCTCCAGACCAAGAGCTTTCGATTTAGCTTGTTTTTAACATTTGGCTAATGCCAAGCTAGTGTTAGCTGTGCTTGTATAAAACCTACAGGGTGACAGACTGAGGACAGACCTTACAGACAGGTGTATTGCTAAAGTATTGTCTTTTTACTCAAGAAGGTCTCCACCGCGACGGCACGGCATCTCACTCTGCTGGCCGCTATGTGTGTATGTGTGTGTGTGTCTATGTGAGCCGACAGAGAGCAACAGAGGCTGCAGCCTGATGATAAACAATCCTGGGCCTGTTTAATACCCTGTTTCGGTGCCATCATTAGAAATATTAGGTTTCTTATCCATCGTGTCTCAAGATAAATCAGTTTAGACGCTTGAGACATAACGTTACATTATAGGACCCACTAGTCTCGATAGCAGTATTGATAAGCTCGGACCTTATTGATTTTCGGGTTTTGAGAAATTTTGGAACCAGGTCCTTTTAGAACCAGGTCTCGATCCCATCCCTACTTAGCACTGGCCAAACTGATTAGCAAGTTAGCCGTTAGTTAGTTCACCAGTTAATTAAGTTCACCAGCTAGACCTAAGTCATCACCAAGACTCTGGTCGGGCCTTTAAACTAATGCAGTTACTGTTTATACCAAACTCCATTTAATTTAGAGAACACACTCACACTCTGGCATTGGACAATGTCAACAATGAATCACTGGGATGGACAATACCGTTGATAGGCTACATAATTAACAAGCTGGCATGCGGTGCACCTGCTGCTGTGAAAAAGGATCACGGGTGGAAATATCCAGAAAAATTACGAGTCCTGCGTCTTTTCTGTGACTTTATAAAACATAACTTTCTGGTATTGATGGTGGTCTTGACAAACTGTTGTTTCTTTTAGTGATGGGTATTAAATGTACCCCAGAGCTAAATTATTAAAGATTGTAATGTTGGTATTGATGAGCTGCAACGTTACTGGTTATTTTATCTCTGCTTCTTAAGTTTTGGTGTAAGTTAGTTTAATATAATGCTGCAGCATCTGCCTCATACACACCAAGCAAAGTCAGCAGAGCTCAGCGCTGAACGGGCGGTGGGGCCAGTAAAGTGAACCAGGTAGAGTGTATTCCGCTTATATAATAAATCTCACACCAAAGACATGTGTTTTATCCACTGCCCCACAACCAATAAGTATGCTCATTACTGTATGTACACTAGCTAAATTTATTTAGCGAATTTACCTTTTGGGTGTAGTTTATTCAAAATCTTACTCTACTTGTTATTCACAGATGTATTTAGTAACAATGTTCCAAAAGTGGAATTGCATATTTCTTTATTGGAAGATTTTACATCATTTTACACCCTGCGAAAGCATGTATTAATCCCCACGGACATTATTTCTAAATGTACCTGCTTTGCACCTGCCTCGACTTCTCCCTGCATTTCCGCACACCTTTGCCTCTGATCTCTCACTGCAAACACACTGGCTTTCCCGCCTCTCTCTCCCTGTCTGCTCCCCTGAGTTTCTCCATAAGCAGAAAGTTATGTTATAATAAAACATGAAATAATGTCCGTGGGGATTAATACATGCTTTCGCAGGGTGTAAAATGATGTAAAATCTTCCAATAAAGAAATATGCAAATAGCAAAATATATATTTTTAAATGGAAACGGTGGTGCCTTGAACAAACCCAAGCCCACTGATTTTTTACTGCATTTTTAACCACAGCTGTGTTTACAAATGTGTTTGCAGCTGATTGGGTAACACCCTCTGACACGCCCACCAAACGGGGAAGCCCGTTGCCCAACATTGCACAATGTTGATTGAAAAACTGTTAATTATTAACTAATTTACAAAATTTGAGAGAACCCAGCTTTCTTTGCAGTGCTGTGAAAGTGTTTTTTTTTGTTCTGACTCTATTTTATAACATTCTCCCACTGGGATGACCAGAGGCAGTATATGGAGTCAGTTTGCCTGCATTCCGGTTATGCTAACGTTAGCAACCATTAGCTAACGTAACTTACCACCAGTGGCTAAAACCTTTCCAGACAGTCGTCAACACATGGTTTGACGACTGTCTGCACTTTGGTTTGGTAAGTGAAAAAGTTCTGTTTTTAGGCGCAGTAATGTTAACAGAAAGGCAATTATTAAGGTAATGC